TTTATTTGTGAAGCACCCAATGATTTGTATCTTGAAATACTCAATATAAATAAATGTACTTACCTATATGGACAGGCCTTGTGGGATAGCCTTTTTCTTTTTTTCTAAACTTGTAGCTATGTTTCTATTCTGTTTTTTTATGTACCACCACAGGAGTTATGTTCCTAATACAAGCTGAAATTCGTAATTCACACTTTGCTTTTCATTTCTCCTCCTGCTGTTTCCTGTAGTCTAGCAGCAGGATAAACTTACACTGTTGGCATCCACCTCAATGTTTTATTTTTAGGCTCAGCTCCATCCTGACAAATACACATGAGCCCACACAGAGAAATCTCATAAAAACAGTTAAACATAACTCCCGCCCGCTGTCCAAGTTACTGCTGGTATATTTATTAAAGTACAGTCAATCAGACCTTCTTTAGGTATATCAAACAAAATTCTTATATATATACACTTTATACATTAGAAAGATTCAGAAAATGCCTCAGTCAAAACAACTAATCAGAACAATCTGACTATGAACTCCTTGCATGTATGTGTGCAAAATTAATATGGCAATGTTATTCACAGCACTAACAGCATCAACACCCGCACAGAATTCTGCTAATTCTTGAGGATTTTATTAGTAGAAATTGCTTTAAATTTTGCTTTTCCCTCAGGTATATTCTCCAGTATTATCCCAAATACACCTGTACTATTCCTTCATGAACATCTGTCAAACCAAATGGTTTAAAAATATATCTGTTGTTCCTTTTGTATCTGGAGAAGTAAAAAAAAAAACTAAACTAAATTTTTTTTTAACCAAATAAGAGTAATACTTTAGCACCAGTGAACATAATATTAATTAATAATAGAAATAACTAAAGGTGGAATTAACTGATGTTTTGCCACAGGTACAATCCTGAAAGAGTTTAGATTTTAACTTTAAGTTGGTGGGCTGACTGTGGACACTTCCAGTATTTAAAAAAAGGAGAAAAAAGAAAAGAAAAACGTAACAAACCACAAGTAACTGAGTACCTCTGTTAAAAAAAGCAAGAGTAAATTAAAATAAAAGTCCACATTGTCTTAGTAAACACTTACTTCACATACAAATATTTGAATAAATCAGTGAAACAAAATCAAGGTATTTAGTTTTAAAAAAAATACTTAAGTGTAAATAAATTGTATGTGCCTCTTCACTTCTTCTGTAATCTCTTTGCTCCACAGACAGATTCTTAAAGTTTGTTATAATAAACTACTAAGTGGTAAAATAGAAAAACGACCTATACGATTGTGCATGTTTGTCTTGTAGGAACTGCGCCTCTCTGCATCTGTTCAGTACTTTCAGCTGGTGAAGAGCCTGGTTTATTCATTCTGCATTAACGCCAACTGACCACAAGATGGACTCAGAGAGTCGGTGCCTACCCTGAGAAATTCATCAGAGATGCTGATACAAATTACTTTACAAAATGTCCCAAAGTTTCCCAGACCAGGTCTGGAAATGACAGAATTAAGAGTTTGTAGTGATATATGAAGACTTTGAGTCAGCCAAGTAGAGCAGGTAATTTA